TGCACATGAGGCATAAGAAAATGAACTAATCAAAGTACTTTATTTCCTTTTTTCTGTGAAATAGAGGACTCTGATTGATTGATTTTTTTATGCCTTATGTTTCGTTATGTTAAGGGCATTCTGTTGCCAGTTGAAACGTTTATCGCGACAATCAATCAGAAATAATACCATTAACGTTTCATATTGATTGTTGCGACAAACGTTTCAACTGGCAACGAGTGTTTGTAACGCATTGTAGAATGCCCTTTAAAATCTGTGCTCCTCACTTTATTCCGTGGTCACACATTAGTTCGCCATTGTGACAGGAATATTCAGTGGCGCTAAGATCGTCTTTTTCCCCAAAATCTATCATTTACATTTACATTGTTTGTGATTGTTTATGGTCATGGTCATCAAGTGTTTGGCGAGTTGAGTGAATGTTGGTGCATGCTAAACGCGATATTTTAAAGATTAACGTTATATATTATACACGTTATTGAAACACTGAAACTCTAACCATGGCGGATGTTTTGGATATCGATAACGCTGAAGAGTTTGAAGTCGATGATGAAGGAGATCGTGAGTTCTGTTCATTATATTTTACGAGCATTGTAACCTCAATTTCGTACCAAGATTCGATCATTTTACTTCATATTTCATCATATCCCTTCCTATGCCAAGAGAACACGGTGTTTTTCTATAAAGTTATTAAAAAATTGTATTAAAATTGAAGGTAAGGTAGCTGAATAATTACCAAATTTTGAAGTAGCGATTTTTTTGCAATGTCTAATATTGATGCAAATATCGAACTTGTTTGAAATCATTAGACAGGAAATGTGGAAGAAATAACAATAGTACTTGGGTCATAACAATGTGAACAATTTTTTTGATTTGATATATTTCCAGAGGGTATCGCGCGTCTTAAGGAAAAAGCGAAGAAAAGGAAAGGTAGAGGCCATGGTGCAGAATTGGTATCTACGAGAGACGATGTTGGTCATTACGAATCCATGAATCTTATTGAAGAAGATGACAATGAGCCTGGTCCTCAGAGATGTAAGAACATCTTTGTCATAGCTTTGTTAATTCAGTTTTTATTACAGAATTTATTTTTTATTTATTTATATATATATATTTGTAAGATCAGAATAATTAATATTTTTTTATATATTTTTAGCTGTAGAGGGATGGATCTTATTCATAAATTCAGTACATGAAGAAGCACAGGAGGATGATATTCAGGACAAATTCTCTGAGTTTGGCCAAATCAAGAACTTGCATTTGAATCTGGACAGAAGAACAGGATTTTTGAAAGGTTATGCGTTGGTGGAATATGAAACTTTTAAGGAAGCACAAGCTGCAAAGGAGGCTCTAAATGGTACAGAAATCCTAGGTCAAGCTATCTCTGTCGATTGGTGCTTTGTAAAAGGACCAAAAAAGTAAGTATTATTATATAAATATAATTATTTAAAATGATATAATATTTGGATTTGTATCGATATTTATATTCTACATTTTTCTATTTTTATAGAATCAGGAAAAGAAGTCACAGAAGGCGATGAGAATTATAGATTGATGACTATAATCACATCTTCTATCGTGTTATTTCAAACAAATTATTTTATATTTGATAAGCATTTTTAAAAATGCTCGAAATATTTTCTTCACTAAGATTTTTGCTCTTTTGTCCTATATATCTATTCATAATCTACTCAGATATAAAGAACTTTGTATGCTATCGTTAGTAAATAGAAGATCATGAATATCATCCAGATACAGCCTCTTATATAAGCGAGAACATTAATATTTTATGTGAATATCTTAGTTTGTTTTCTTTCATATACCTCTTATAATCTAGCAATAATTTTTGGTTTCACATTTATTACTATGCTTTGTACCAGTTTGCGTAAAATAAATGTTATTAAAATCTTATTTTTGTAGTGATACAACTTCTTATATATAACTTCGAGTACATATAATATTTAATAAAAGTTCCTATATTAAATGTAAAATCTCATTTTTTCATTGTGAAAGAATATTTTAGCAGTACGAGAATAAAGAAGACAAGAATTTGTGGCAAAAACAAGCATAACATTTTTTTAATTGTGTTAATACATATAACTTTGAAAAGTATTCATTTAGTCATTGTTTTTGTTTATCTTATACTAGTCGAAAAACGAGAAAGTATGAAGATTAGAGATATTCCTATATTTATTATACAAAAAATATATCTTAATAAATAAATGACGCAACATATTAAGCATAATAATTCAGGTTTGCTTTCTTTTTCGCTTGGACTTCATTAATAGCTTCCATCAAATCTTCATGAGTGACTTCTGTTGCATTGCGTCGTAATGCTATCATACCCTGAAACATATTATGTTCTTATCATTCTAACAAATTATATATGCATATAATAAAATCGAGTAGGATAAAGTATTAACTGAATGGGGCAATATATTAATCCTTGAGTAGTACGATTTAGATTAGAGTTAAAATGACATATTAGTGAAACATAGAAGAGAAATAATTTTATATTTAACGTTGAATTAAAGAGCAATTGATGCTTTTATTATTATTGATTTATTCTGAACTTAAATACTTACCGCTTCTACACAGACAGCTTTACATTGTGCTCCATTAAAATCATCCGTGGATCTGGATAATTCTTCGAAATTTACATCAGGCGACATATTCATTTTACGCGAATGAATTTGCATAATGCGTGCTCTGGCCTCCTCGTTGGGATGTGGAAACTCGATTTTTCTGTCTAAACGGCCAGATCGCAGCAAGGCTGGATCCAAGATGTCGACTCTGTTTGTGGCAGCAATTACTTTGATATCAGCGGTCGAACTAAAGCCGTCCAATTGATTTAATAACTCCAACATCGTACGTTGTACCTCTCTATCTCCCGCTTTTTCTGAGTCAAAACGTTTTGTGCCGATAGCGTCTAGTTCATCAATGAATATTATCGCTGGAGCTTTTTCTTTGGCCAACGAAAACGCATCTCTGACCAATTTAGCACCATCACCAATAAACATCTGTACCAATTGTGGACCAGCCAATTTTAGGAAGGTAGATTTTGTTTGGGCGGCACAAGCTCTAGCTAATAGAGTCTTTCCAGTTCCAGGTGGACCATAAAGTAAAACACCTTTAGGGGGTTGTATTCCTAGATTCTCGAACTTCTCCTTGTGCGTCATAGGCAACACAACAGCCTCGATGAGTTCCTGAATTTGTTTGTCTAGTCCACCGATGTCAGAGTATTGCTCTGTAGGTCTCTCATCTACTTCCATAGCTTTGACTCTGGCATCATATTCGGCTGGCAGAGTCTCTAGTACAAGATAACTATCTTTATTGACACCTACCAAGTCGCCTGGTTTCAGAGATTCAGCGTCGACCAGACCGATTACAGGCAGGAAGTACGTTTGACGGGTTGATGTCTTTATAACTGCACATTTGCCCTTTCTTTGTGCATCTAAATCAACCACTGCTCCATCTTCCTCTCCCATATCTTGTGGGTCAACATCTAATAGTTCGATGACATTGGATACCAAGTATGGGAGAGTTTTGTTTACCTTAATCTTCTCAGTATTCTCCTTAATTTTATCGTTCTGCGCCTGAAGCTCATGTGAAATTCGCATTACCTCGCTCTTCATTATCTTGATTTCATTATCCAACAGTCGCGTACGCGACACGATTTCGTCCGTGGACATTCGTAGGACGTCCTCTCCTAGTGTTTCCTATGAAAGACACAGCACATATAATTCTTTTTTTGTAAAGAACAGTTTTTTTCAAAAAAAATTTAATCATTTTTTAAATTGAGAAAGTAAAAAAATATAACTTTATGTTGATTAAAATGAATAAAAAAATTCAAGTATTATTTTTATTCTTTATAGAGTTTAGAAAAAATTACAGACAAAATTAAATAAAATAACATATTTTAATTAAACCTAATTCTTCTTATAGTCTGTTTTGTGAAGTAAAAAATGTTAATTATTCATTATTACTGCAATAAATCTTTAGATTTATTTACACTGAAAAAATAGATTAACTTAAGTGCTTAATGACAGCTAAATAATTAATATATCCATTAATATAATATAAAATAAATTCTAATAATTTTATAGAAAAAATGTATAATCACTTGATTCACAGTATTTGTATTTTACAAAACATCCTTTTTATATTATTTGCATTTAAGTAAAGCAAGTTTTCTAATTATGCAAACAGAACAAAATAAATTGATTTTAAGATAGTTAAAAGAGAAAACTAGAAAAAAAGAAGCAAAAGGAAATAAAAAAAATAAAAGTATCAATCAATGTTAACTATTGTGTTGCTCGCAAAGTATAACAGGATATATATACGCTTAGATATGCTTGTCATTCATGCATAACCTGCAAAATGCAGAATCGTATACCTCTCCATCCTCCCAAATAGATTTATCTTCGAGTGTGGCCATTTGAAAGCTATGAGGAATTCTTCGCTGACTAGCTCCGACTTTTCCTGACTGACTGCCCTACGATTACAAGCAAAAAATTCTTTAAAAATCAATTCCGAAAGCAGTCCTACGCTCTTTAGACAATTCAGAATAAAAAAATCTGCTACCCCCGACAATCACGACCATCACTCCATGACAGTGTGTTGCCAGACTTCCAGACATGTTCCGCACTTGCGCATGCGCGCAGTCTAAAGCGCCAGTAGAGTATCTAAATTGGCGTCCTTAGTTGCCCCCATCCGTAAGGATGTCGGTTTTTAATATCCTCGTCGGTGGTCTAACTAAGATCTTCTAAATTTTCGGATACATATCCTTTTTCCTGATTCCATTACGATTCATTTTCTGACCTAAAATACTAATTTCTATTTTTTTCTTAGGATTCCTCGCACCTCCTATTCGGTTTGGCGTGCAGATTCCGCGGTTCACACAACACCACTTTTATCTAATCTAACCTAATGACTACAGTACTGCGCGCTAAGCTGTAAACAACGCGCATGCGCGAGTGCGGGGCATGTCTGACATCAGGCGCGACAGCAATTGTGATCGTATACCGACCCATCAAGAATCAATTTAAAATGATATAGGGCAATCTCGGAAGATGGCCGTACTTGTCGCGTTTCAATTACTCTTTCGCTTTCTTCTGATTTTACATATATATTCCCATTTCCCAGAGAACATTGAGACGTCTTATAAGATATCATAAAAATGTCTTAAAATTCATGAGAATTCTAATTTAAGTCTTTTGGATGTTTTTCAGACATGCGTGTTCTCTCTGGGTACATATTAATTAAACAACAAAAAGAAATTATTATCTGTCTATGTTAAGAAAATAGTATCTGTAGGTTGATAACTTAATCGTCGATTAAATTAATCAAAGTTTACAAGCTTGAACTTAAATATATTAATCCAAGTTAATGGACGATTTCAGAAACTATTTGTTATTTTTATTGAATACATTTATTGAATATTAATATACTTTTTAAGTAACAATTACCAAATAATCGAACATTTAATTTTTTCCCTTCCTCTTTCTTTTTTTTATATATTTCTTTTTCAAATTTTATTTTTTGCAATAATTAATAATATATACATGATTTTTTAAAAGATAATTGTAATTATTATGAAAAACATTTATGCACAAAAAATTATTAAAAATAACTATTTAATATTTGACAAATTTGACTTTTATATGTCAATTATCAAGGCACAAGTATACAAGGTGTCATTAAAATACGGTACCACCCATCCTAAACAGGTAGAGCGGACTAAACTGAATTGAAAAGTCCTTACCATTTTGCGATTTTTGCAATAGTTATCGAGATAAAATCGCTAAATATTGAGTTTTAATAATTTTTTACTCAAATACTATCAACTTTATAGAAAAACAGCAAGAGATAACAATAATTTATTTTCTTCTTATAAAGTTCTGAGAATTTTTTCAGAATTTTTAAAAGAAGAAAATAAATTATTTTAAATATTATTTTAAATATTGTATTTTTTCATGGCGGTAAAAATAAGAAAATGCAGTATTAAATAGTTAATAAACAATTCTGAAAAAATTTTTAAAGTCCTATGAGAAGGAAATAAATGATTTTTGTCTCTTGCAATTTTTCTGTAAAGTTGATAGTATTTGAATAAAAAATTATTGAAAATCATTTAGCGATTTTTAGTAATTAATATTTCGTTAACCACTGCAAAAAATGCAAAATGGTAGAGGATTTTTCGACTCAGTTTAGTCCACTCTATCTGGGCACAGGATGGGTGGTGCTGTATTTTAACAACACCCTGTATATACATAACCTTTTTATATGTGGAAATTGAATGTTCCAATTTTAATTAAAGATATTACTTTTTTATATTTACAATTTTTTATTTTTGTATATAAATTGCTGCAAATACAAACGCACAGCTGATGTGTTTTTTATTCTCTATGTAAAATTATATTTAAATAAATTTTAAAATTATTGGTTGGAGGAAAAGTTTTGCAATATTTCGTTAATACAATGTCTTCGTTAAAAATGATTAAAATTTAAATTAAAAAAAAAGAGGTTTAAAGCTTAAAATCTCTACTTTTGAATGGTTACTATATTTTTTTGAATTTATGTAAATTTTGTAATTTTTATACATATAAAACTACGAACTCAAAAAAAAAAAGAAAATTTTTTTTCTCACTTTGTGGATCTGTCACGTGTAAAAACAAAATTACAAAAATTTTTGATTTCTATATCATGAAAGTTTAGAGTTTTCCTTACAAAATGGTTTTTTGAAGATGTTTTTGTTCTAATCTACGATTTTTTGTTCTTTGAATTATTCGCGAGTTAAGTAAAAAGTGGCATTTTGACTTTAATTGCTCATAATTCCATTAAAAATCACATTAATGCAATTAAAAAAACAAATTCTTATAGCTGAAACGTTGCTCCATCAAATAGCATCATGCTAATTTTTTAAATGTAAAATACATAGAATATTGAATTAAAAATGTGATGTTACTATCTTTATATAACCATTGTGCAATGGAAAAAAGGATAGTAATATCACATTTTTAGCTCAAATGTAATATATATTCTATTTTTTTTTAATTGGCAATTACACCGTTTGTTAGAGCAACGTTTCAGCTTTAAGAATCTGTTTTATTAATTACGTCACGATGATTTTTAACGGAGTTATGCAATCAAATTCAGAATGCTCTTTTATTTAATCCGCGTGTAACTTGATAACAAAAAGTCATAGGAACATTTTTTTAAAACGAATTTTTAGGAAAAACTTTAAGCTTTTACGTCAAATAGTCGAAAATTTCGCAACAAATATATTCTGTATATAATTTTGAAAAAATCGGCAGAACTTTTTCTCCAATACATCATGATAAAAAAATATCAAAACAACGTAATTGAACTTATAAGTACAATTATTAGAAAATCTCATGTTATCATTATGTAAATTTTGTATAATAAAATATACGATTGTTAAAAAAGTAATTGTGATGATAAATTAGGAGAAGTAAACGTTTATTTTTAAACTTTACTTTGTATTCGTTCATTGTAAGTGTGAATTTGCACATAACATGGAACGAAGAAAAATGGAGACATTATTTGATGAGATGCATCAGCAAGTGGATAGTTTGAGGATAATGATTTAAGATGGGCATGTATGGAGTCCGCAATACAGTCACGCGCAAAGACGCGCCATTTATACTTTCATCGAGTTCTGCATATGAGAGCTGCATTGTTTGTACGTTTTCCAAGGTATACTGCGGCTTACATCTCCGGGGTGGGAGGTGCACCCACGGTTTCAGGCTAATCGGGAAGTAACGAGTTTGCAACGGATAGCTGCAGCTTTCATTAAACTCTATTAACGCTAATTAGAGAATAACTGAAGGCTAATTACAGAATAATTGTGGCATATAAATAAACATCTACACGAGCCTGCGATGAGGATAGTTAATAAGTGAGTTAATTTGCAGACCGATGTATATGTAAGCATTGTGGTTTGAACACCGAATCTTACTTTAGGGACGAGTCGTAACTTGTCTCAGTACAATAATTTTTAATTACGATTGGGCTTTATGAAATGCAAAATAGCATTGCAATGAGCTGTTAAATACACATTTTGCAGAGTAGATAATGCAATTGAGAAACGTATCGTCCAAGTAATTTTGTATACTTCGTATAAATATTTACGTTTTAATAATTTACTCTATATCCTAATAACTCTATAATTTTAAAATAAATCTATAATTTGGAATAAACTTATAATTTATACATATATGTTGCTATTATAGTAGTAAAAAAAAAACATGAAATAGCTTTAATGTAAGAGATCATAAAGCCTAACTATATATCAGTTACTAAAAAATGCGGTAATTTAATTTGGTCCAGTCGGAATAATTTCGGCCAATTTTTAAAAAATGTCTAAATACAGTCTCGCGTACGAAAGGAGATCAGACGTAATACATTTTAAAAACGTCTATTTTTAAGACCTTCTATGTCCTGATTTTGACATGCAGTTTGGGCATTATCAAAATTTGGATCACAGTTATTCTGATTTTGGGCCGAAGTTACTCTATCTTTGGTATATTTGTACTTTATTAATTGACATAAAAAGAATGTGTTCTGTCACAGAAAGTTCGGTGCTCGACAAATCGACGGTGCTCCAACTCTTTTTACTAGTAGCTAACTACCGCGTTTTGTTAAGCACAATCCCGAATCGCATGAAATATCAAATTTCACTGCGACTATGAAGTCCGGGGTCCTAAGAGAAGTGCCCAGAAATTTTGCAACTTTTATCGTGGACGTGCAATATCGCGGGGATATATTATCGAATTTCCATATCGACATGCTGCCGTTGAAGGGCTACGCCGAGCCGAACGTTTTATAACCGCCCGTAACTTAAAGCCGTGCATTATCAACCTTACGAGACACTTGGTCATCTCCCAGAGAGTCCGTAACATGTATAGTAATCCTTCGATAAAGCGCAACGAAAGTACAGTCCCAAATGTGTTCGCAAACAATGGAGAGAGGCACTAAATTTTATGTCAAGGGCATGACTCTCGTTTCGCCTCGCATCATGATCTTTCTCTATGAACGAAAGAAAAGTATTTTCTGAATCTTTAATAATTCATCGTTGTTTTAGAATTATTAATAATTTATAATAATATCTCGATTTTTAGCTCATTTAATGTAAATCAATATAAAGTTGAAAAAATTAACGAATATGTATTATTTTTCTCTCTAGATTTTTAGAAAATTTATATATATGTCATAAAATTAAGAACATAACTTTTTACGTGTGTTTGATTTAAATTTGCCGTGTGACGGATTTAAATTTGCTATTCCTTTTAATCTTTTAATTTTAAAATGCACTAATTTTATACATATAAACATTGGGAAAATGAACATAAAAGATAGAGGTTTGTAACATAAAAGATAAACCGCTGACTAAAATTATGTACACCAATGCGTACTAATGTCCAATAATGCTCAAGTAATACTCAATTTTTTTTGCCCACTATGCCCTCGTAATGCTCTACAATGCCCAGTAATGCTGTAAACTCATACCGTTTATTATAATACACAATTCTCTTAAGTAATGCCTCAAATTTGTACACAGCAAACATCCTCAGGATTTACCCCCATTGTTGTAATATTTTTTTAAATTGT